GTCCAGCGGAGTGAGGCACCACGGGGACTCAGATTAGACCTCGCCATCTCTGGGGGGCTGCGATCTGTGAAACTGTCGCCACTTTCGAGGGTTGCTGGTGGGTCCAGCGGAGTGAGGCACCACGGGGACTCAGATTAGACCTCGCCATCCCTGTGTGAAACTGTCGCCACTTTCGAGGCTGCTGGTGGGTCCAGCGGAGTGAGGCACCACGGGGACTCAGATTAGACCTCGCCACCCCTGGGCGGCTGTGATCTGTGAAACTGTCGCCACTTTCGAGGGCTGCTGGTGGGTGGCCAGCGGAGTGAGGCACCGCGGGAACTCAGATTCTGACCACGAGCAACGCTCGCGCGCCCTTGCTCTGCGGTTCGTGCCACGTGGCGCTGCGACTCGAGCTGGCGGTCGTCCTTCGGACCCGCAGAAACATCTGCTGAGCTCGATGAGCTAGGGGAACTACGGGAAAGAAGCGCAGGAAACGGAGGCCGGTCATGCACTCGCCGATACCTTGTTGCTCTGTCATCGTCTTTGTTGTTGCGTGATCCTTATCTGGCCCGCCGGCGCCGCGGCTCGAGCTGGCGGTCGCCCTTCGGGCCCGCGGGAACATCTTCTGAGACAAGTGGACGCCGCCGCCTTACTTGCAGGCAGCGCATTGCATTCGCGGACAGCAGCATGGCAGACCGCAGTGAGATCCTCAGTCGCGTGGTGTTGCCAAGCCTGGTGGAGACGCGCGTGATCGACCTGAAGTCCCAATCGCGCGTGCACTGTACCTGCGTGGCGTTCAGGCACGCGCGTGATGCTGCTCGCTCCGCGTTCAACCAGTACGTCGCCAGTGCAACTTTGGACGATGGACAACCGATTGATGATACGCGACCCCGGCCTTGAGTTTCTTTCCCGCGGGCCGCCCGCAGACCTGGCGGCGCGCCTGCGAGCGTTCAGCTCCCGCGCTGAAATGTGCGGGAAGGAGGCGGAGAAGCTAGCGGGCGAGCTACGCCTCGCTCGTTCCTTGCACTCTAAACAAGTTTTATCATGTGGAACTCTGCGACGACATGGCGCAGGCAGCGCTGCGGGTTTAGCTCGCACTTGAAAAACGCGGCAGTCTTCTGTCTCCTCCCGCCACTTTCATCGTCGTCCTATTCCCCGCCTCACCTTCTCCATGCATGCTGCTGCTTCCGCGATGGCCTTTCGCCCCCCCCGCCCTCCATTCCATCCCTCTCCTACCCCTCGTTCCCGTGCCCGTTCTTCTTCGATCCTGGGGCCTCAAGCCTCGTTCTTTCGATCGTCGTCCTGTGAATCGTGCAACGCATGCGCATCCCATGTAGCTTGCACAGCAAATCGCCGCGTCTACACTGTCGTTGTTCCTGCTAATGTTGGCATACTCCTCTTGCCATTTGATGCACGTGGGTTGGGTACGTCGCAGGGTAATTTACGTCGCGGCCCGGCAAAGGCAATCCGCTCGCGCGTCGGGGCGAGACCGGACACGGAGTCGCGAAGACACACACACACACCTTTCAAACAATTGCACTCACGAAGGGCGAGTCGTGTTCCAAGTGAGGTGCTCGCATTGGCGCCGCGCGCAGTCGCTCTGCAAAAACAGTGTTAGCCAACGTAGACACCAAACAGTGAGTTGTAGAGGTGCAAGCTATGCGGTATGAGCTGCGTGGTGTGAGCTATGTGGTGCAAGCTCTGTTGTGTAAGCTCTGCAGTGTAAGCCATGTGGTGCAAACTATGTGGTGTAAGCTATGTGGTGTGGGCATGTGGTGTAGATTATGATGTGTAAACTCTGTGAGGTACGCAATGTTATATGAGTTATGTGGTGTGAGCTATGCGGTGCAGTGCAAGCCGTGTGATGTTCAAGCTATGTGATGCAAGCCACGTGGTGTGCCATGAAGCGCCCATGAGCGGGCACGGGACTCCCACGAGCGGCGAGGCGAAGCGAGCGCGCGGTTCCGCCGGATGCGGGGCACTTCTGGGCCTGCGCGGGGGGGCCGGAGCCCTCAGTTCATGTTGTCCGTGTGGACTGTTCTGCCTGATGATCTGGCCCTCGGGGCGAAACCTCGGGAAACCTACCCAGCGCACGGGGGGCCCACGAGGCATTCCTCCTCCTCCTCCTCCTCCTCCTCCTCCTCCTCCTCCTCCTCCTCCTCCTCCTCCCCCACGAGACGGAAGGTGACGAAAATCCCAGAAGCCCAGCTGGTTGCTTAGAAACACAGGCAAGAGCCCCATACCGTGCAGGCACTGCTTGGGGAGCAGCTGCGCGGATGGATGGAGGGCCCTTCGGTGGCAGCTCATGGGAGTCTCCACTACCATCTTGTCGGCCTTTGCGAATCGACGCCACTCGACGCTAGTCGACGCTAATCGACGCTACAGCGACGCTCATCGACACAAACCAACGCTAAATCGGCGCCATCTCATCGACTCCCAAACGCTAATAGACGCTAGTCGTCGCTGAAGACGGAAATGCGAGGGTAACGTTGCACAAGGCTCCCATGATTTGCTACCGAAGGGCACGCTGATTTCTCAAATGGGGCTCTCGCCTGGGCGCCGCACATACTCGTCTTAGGCAGGCCGCTGGCCGCGGCCCACCCTCCTCGGGGAGGCCGCCGGCCGTGTTGAGGGGCGCCTGTGGTAGCGATGTGCGCGTCTGTCGTGTGTTTTCGGGCGGAATGCGAATTCTGACGCAGTGGGGGCCACCCGGAAGGAAAGCTTTTCCGGGGCGCGCAGAGGAACCCAGGGGGTCCAGCTTCTGCGGAAGAGAGAAATCCTTGGCGAAGGGTTCGGGGACGGGGGCTACCCCTGCCTAAATTTCCGGAAGAGGAATCAAGTCTCAGCCGCGGGGGTGCTGGCGCGCGGGGTCCCACCCCCCCCAGCGTAACCAGAGGAAGAAAAATGGGAGAGCTCAGATTGTAAATGCAATGCTGCATGACTCCAATGGTAGTTGTACCAGGGGATGATCGTGTTATTTGCACACTACTGTGTGTCCTACATCCGAAATCGACATGATACGCTGTCTCCTTATTCCTGAAATCGCTGCTTCAAGACTCCCAAGTCGCGATCCTAGTGTTTCCTTATTCCCAAGTCACGACTCTATACTGTTTCCTCACATGCCTCAATCGCAAGTCGATAAGACTAGTTGCAGGACCAGCTGCACTCTTGGAGCATCTGCGCGCCAGCAAATAGTGGTACCAATTGTGCTCAAATGCTAGGTGTACTCTAACCAGACGGAATCAAGGGTTCCGGTAGCACTACGCCCGCGGAAGAAAGAACAAAATCCATGCGCCGCCAAGGATCCCAAGTTTATCGGGTCGCCGCGAAAAAGGGCCCCCCGCGGAAGTAAAGAAAAGCATCCGGCTGGGGGGGGGGGTTCACGCATGAGTCGCGGGGGCGATGTAAAATCTATGTTGTGCAAACTGTTTGGCTTTGTGCAATATATGTGGTGCAATCTATGTATGGCAATCTCTGTTGTACGATAGATGTTGTGCAGCATACATTGAGCAATATATGTGGTACAATCTATGTGGTGCGGTCTTTGTGGTGCAACCGAGGGGGTACAATACATGCGGTGCAGCCTATGTGGTAATCAATGTGGTGCAATCTACGTTGTGCTATCTATGTTGTGCAACATGTGCTGTGCAACCTATGTGGTGCAATCGATTCGATTGTAGTCGATTGGATTGCAACGCAGGGGAAAAGTAACGGGGCGGCGGCGACGAGACGGGGCGGCGACGGTGACTACATAGCCGCCAGACCAGCCGTCAGGCCCAGTCATCGGGCGGCGACGAGGCGGCGACGGGGCGGCGACGGCGACTACACAGCCGCAATATCGGCCGTCAGGCCCAGCTCCTTACTTGCAACAGAAGTAAGTACCCTTCAGAGCAAGTACTGCTTGGGGAAAAACAGCACAAGCATAAACTTTCGGAGGTCCTCTCGGATATCTTGGATCGGCGCTGGGCCCCCCTCCCTGGCGCGCGGAACGCGCCAGGAGCGGCGCTGGAGGCGCCCCCAGGGGAGTCCAGCGACGATCAAAAAATCCGTGCGGGCCTCCGAAGGTTACCAGCCTCGAACGTATCCCTATCCCTAGGACTGACACGCCAACAGGCGATGACAATCTTAGGGGTTCGCCCTCAAAAAATAAGGGAATCCCCAAGATTGGCACCGTGATGAGGAGGTGCCCAGCATAGGGATAAGGATATGTTCCAGGCTGGTAGGAAGGATTACGTTTATGCCGCGTTGCCTTCCACTGCCCAAGTCCCCGAGCAGCTCCCAGCGCCCTCGAGGCTGGTGCAGGCACGGCGGCGCGTGCCCACGGCACCGCCGACGGGGCCACGCTTCTGCCGCGCGTCCTGCCGCAGGGTCGTGCTCGTGCCGGCCAGGTTCTTCTCACGCCTTCTCCGACCCTCAGAATTGGGGGAAACGGGTCCCGAGGGAAGCGTGTCCTGGACCTCGGGGCCCTCCCCCGCAGGACGAGATCTCCACCCCGAGTCCTTCTCCGACCGCCCCCCAAACCCGTGGGGGGCCCAAAAGGCCCCGGGAAACGGCAACAAACGCGCCGTGTGCTCGCGGGCCAAGCGGGCAGCGTGCGTTTCGAGGTACAGTCGAGGCGTTGACCTAAGGAACCCTAACTAAGGAACGAGGCGATCCTCCCCATGGCGAGATCCTCCCCAGAGCGAGATCCTCCCCATGGCGAGATCCCCCCCCCCCGAGCAGGGAGGCCGCCGGACGTGCGCCGCCTGCGGCGTCCACCGCCCCCGCCAGCCCCGCCACGCCGTCGGCGGGCACGGCCGGGCCTGCGGGAGCGCGGCCGCTCCCGTGCCGAGGCCCCGTGGGAGGGGGGGGGGGAGCGGCGAGGAAGAGGCCCTGAGACACACACAAATCAATACACACACATAAAGGGATTCCCCATGTGTTTCCCAGATCTTCTAGGCTTCTGTCTTCCCCCCCCCCACTTCCCACAGTTTTCCACATCTTCCTGGGAATCGACGATTCATTGTGTCTGTGTGTTTTTTCCTCTCCTGAGACGAGGAGCGAGGAGGAGGAGGGCACGCGCGGTCTGAGGGGGGGGGGGGGCGCGCGCGCCCGTCCTTTCCTGCCGCCCCCCTCGTGGGGGAGAGCGGACCCCGACCCGACGCTCCGATCCCTAGCCGCGGTGGCAGAGCCGCCGGTGGCGGAGCGGGCCGGGATCGCAGTCCGAGCATCGTGGTGCCCAAAGCGCGGCGACAGGGGCCGCAGATAGGAAGGCACCAACTATACACCAACACCGATCCTGGCCAGGATCACCCTGGGCCAGGATCGGTGTTGGTGTATAGTTGATGCCCTCCGAGCAGAGCCAGCTCGCCTTCGGTCTCAGGCGCCGCCGCCCGCGCCGAGGAGCCAGGGGCTGGCCAGCGCTCCCTGGACGGATGGCCGCGCCTCGGGGTCGACCGTCAGCAGCTCTCTCACCAGCTCCTTCGCCGAGGACGACACGTACTTCCACTCCGGCACGTCGAACTGCCACCTGCCCATGAGTATGTCCCGGTGCAGCTCGCACGCGTCTTTCTCTGCGTCGAACGGCGGTTTCCTGGTGAGCATCACGTAGAGTAGCACCCCCAAGCCCCACACGTCTGAGGGCTTGCCGTAGCCCCCGGAGGCGTCCCCGAGGGGTGCGCCGAGCGCATCGCCAGCTGCCAGGCACTTCTCCGCGTCCTGGCCTTCGACGATGGCGCACGCCAACATTCTCCGCACCATCTGCCTCACGACCTCTGGGGCGACGTAGCTGCGGGTCCCGCAGTACGTCTCGCACTCGCGCGGCCCGACAGCGACGCGGGAGATCCCGAAGTCGGCCAGCTTCGCGCGCATGTCCCGGCGGTCCTCGGACGTCAGCAGCACGTTGTCCGGCTTGATGTCGCGGTGTATGACGTTGCACTCGTGCGCGTATGCCACAGCTTCGCAAACCTCCTTGAACAGCCTCTGCGCCAGCGGCTCCGGGAACTGCCCTCCAGAGTCGAGACTTCTGTACATGTCCGTTGGCAAGTCTTCCATCACGATGTAGAGGCGTTCCTCGGTCACGAAGGCCCAGTACATCTGCACAATATTCGGGTGTCTCAGGCGCTCCAGGATGCATGCCTCATTCTCGAGCGTGACGCTCGAGCTCTTGCGGCGCTGGGCGGCCTCGAAGGCCTGCCTGTTGACCTTCTTCACCGCGTACTGCAGGCCCGTCGGCCGGTGCACGGCCTTCACGACCTCGGTGGACCGCGTGAGCGCCACGTGCCTCTGCGAGTCCCAGCGCCACTCCCGCCGCACCGACGCCTCGGTCGTGCACTCCAGCGCGAGGGCCGCGCCCCCCCCGCCCGGCGCCTCGCCCGCGGCGGCGGCGGGCCGCGGCGTGCGGGCGGGCGCGGCTGCGGCGGCCCGCGCAGCGCCGCCCCCGAGCAGCCGCAGCTTGCGCAGGGCTGCCTCGAGCTCCCGGCAGCCTGCGCCCCCCCGCGCGGGGAGAGCGCCCGGCGCGCCCGCGTGCGCCGCCCTCGGCGGCGTCGGCTCCGGCGGCGGCGGCGCGCCCTGCGCCTCCGAGCGCGGGGTGACCACCTGGTCCTGGGCAGGGCGGAACCTAAACGGTGTTTTCCGTTTTCGTTTTGTTTTCGTTCTCCCTCGCTTTTGTTCCGAATCCGCCTTCACCAGCAAAACGAAGCCGAAACGAAAACGGCCAACGAAATCGCCAAAAACACTGTTTAGGTCCAGCCCTGGTCCTGGGGGTACTTCTGCCGCAGCCGCTTGATGCGCGGGCCCTCGTACGCGGCGATCCACGACGCCCGCGTGCAGAATTCCATGGGAACAGGCGGCCCGGCGCGGCGCGCGCCTAGAGCGCGCGCCCTACCAGCCTCAGGCCGCCCTGCCCTCGAGCCAAAATTACTACGGAGAGGAGAGAGGAGGAGGAGGAGGAGGAGGAGGAGGAGGAGGAGGAGGAGGAGGAGGAGGAGGAGGAAGGAGGAGGAGGAGGAGGAGGATGAGGGGAGGAGGAGGAGGAGTGAGGACGAAGGGAGGAGGGGAGGAGAGGAGGAGGAGGAGGAAGAGGAGAGGAGGAGGAGGAGGAGTTGAGGAGGAGGAGACGAGCAGGAGGCGGACAGGAGGAAGGAGGAGGAGGGAGCTGAGGAGAGAGGGAGGAGGAGGGAAGAGGAGGACAGGAGGAGGAGGAGACTAGGATGGAGGATGGAGGAGGCGAGGAGCGAGGGTAGCGGATCTATGGAGCGAGGAGGAGGAGAGGAGGGAGACGAGGACGAGGAGGAGGGAGAGGATGAAGGCGAGGACAAAAGGATGGGAGTGAGGAGGAGAGAGGTGAGGAGGGGAAGGAGGAGGAGCGAGGGGGAGGAGGAGAGGAGGACGAGAGGAGGATGACAGGAGGAGGAGGGGGAAGAGGTGGAAGGAGGAGTGGGTGGAGGAGGAGGAGGCATCCAGCGGAGTCTGTCATTTATGAGTGAGGGAAGTAGGAGGGGAGGAGTCGCGGAGAGCTGCCTCTTCAGGCTTCATGGCGGC